TGGGTGCTGGACTGCATCTTCCATAGATCCTACGATTCATAACAAGACAGTGTCAAAAGACTGACCTGGTGAGAAGAATGCACGGTGATTTGTAGCAGGACAATTGCTCGAGATGACACGAATGACCTGAGGTTGAAAGATCATAGGCTAGCTTGCTGAAAGAAGGCTAACTAGAAGCTGACTAATCAGAGAGGCCATTCGCATGATCAGATTCCCACTGATAAGAAGCTAGTTGACCAAAGGTCGACCGACTAGCTGCTGACCGGATAGAGGCCCATGGACTGAAGGTCGACTGACAAAAGTTGACAAATCAAAGGTCAACTGACTAGGAGTTGACCAACTAAAAGCCAAGAGTTACGACGCATTTATCTCAAATATTGTCCAAATCAAGATAAGGGCAAAAGAGGAATTGTATATATCACATATATATAAGGGCATTAAATATAATGAAGGTTTGAAACCTGATACCAACTAGTCTCTCTCTCTCTCTCTCTCTCTTTCTTATAAGTGATTCACAAATAAATTTGAGGTGAATATTGAAGGGTGCCCAATGAGCATAAGATGAGGAGATGTGTATTCTAGAGAGAGAGATATCATATGCAATAAAAGGGATATTTACATGCATACCGCACAATTCATGTTAAGAAATTCCAATGCACCGATAATGACCTTTTTTGCATCAAATTCGTTAGAAACACAAACCCACATTTTCAGTTTAGATTCCTCTTTCAGATTTTCATAGATGTGTCGTAAGAGAGCTGACTTGTCCATGCGACCATGACCTACTATGGATAGAAGAGAAATGTTTTTGTACAAAGTAGGGCTTGCAATGAGTTGGAACTTCATTTTGTTGGCTTCCTCAACCACTGAACAGATGAGATCAGTATGTCAGCTTCGATCTTGGGGTGGTTCTCTCGCAGCATTTCGAGCTCCTTTTTCATGCCTGTCTGCCATCTGAAGTACAGATCTTGCAGGTTTTAGTTTTTGAACATTACAAATATTAATTGATTAAGCAAAATCGTAATTCAAATCATTAATATACTTTGTGATTTAAATTGATTAGATAGAGTTGTTATTTTTTAATTGCTTTCTTAAACTAAAAATAATGATTAATTAAAATTTTAATTCAATTAACAAAATTTTAATTAATTAATAAATATTTATTAAAAAATTAAGTTGAGAAGTTCTATTTTTAAAAAAATGTTCCCATAATCAAGTGTGTTCTTCTCAATAATTTGGCAAAATCTTAAATAAATGAGATGTTTTTGTACATAAAAAATGAGCCAACACGAATTTTGAGGAATCTAATGGTCCAAAGAAAAGGAAGTATAACAAGGGAGGGACCACCAATGAAAGACCAAAGTGTTCACCTTCTTGACCAGATGCAGTCTCCTTCACTGAAGTTAAGGATAATTGAGTGCATACTACTCGACTCAGGGACAAAGGTCAACCAAGCTAATATGACATAATGAGTGATCCATGTCTGAGCCCATTAGACTATGGACAAACAAACAAGCACTCAAACTAGCCATTATCAAAAAGCCGTAAAAAGACATTGACCTCTTTATCGCATATTAGCGACATGATTGATTCTCTTGTCACATCAAATGACTTTTCATAGATAATTTATGTCTGGGATCTTTTTGCAATTGTTTCTCTTATTGCAATACTGGTTATTAGAAGACTCGTCACAAATAACTTATGACAAGGATCTCTGGTCACAAAAATAATGTGAATTATATAGTTTTTTGTTTTAGATTCTTCATACATTTATAACAACTGAAATCTTGAAAGTAGTTGATCATAATATCCTAGATTCAACTAAAATGCTTTATAAAAAAAATATGAGTATAATTTTTATATATGCAATATATTTTATTTTTATGTTATAACTTAACAATTGTCTAATTACAAAAAAAATTTAAAATAAAATATCTTTTATATCATAATTGCTCTATATTTCTTTTTTACTTTGCTCTTTATTTATCATAATTGATTGATTTTTTATACATAAATGACTAAAATGAATTGCAATTATAGATTATCATTCCGAAGAGATATTAATTGTTGCTGTTAAGCTTCAAAAGATTAACTACATTTTGAAAAAAAAAAAAAAACTATTATCATATGACAAATGAATCCACATTGAAGAAAACTAAATGCTTGATGTTGTAGGCTATAACTTACTTGGTGCCAACATATGTTAGTATTAAGGTGTAAAGGAATTGTGTTATGAATCTATTAATATTGAGTTTGTAGCACTCAACAAAGATAATGATTTTACTATGATTTTCAAATGACTCATATAACTTTATTTAATGTGACACATTTTAATTATCATCAACTAACATGATAAATTTTAAAGAGGTCATAACACCAAACAAAAAGAAGAAGACATATAAGATGAAATTAGTCAAAGTATGTTACATATTCTGAGACATTATAGAATCAAAAATAATCAAAGGAAGATCACATAAAATGAGGGCATCTCATATGAATTTTCTTTTAAAAGTGGGGGACAATGACGAACATGTCGTGATCATATTGAGATAACTGATATGAATATTAGGACATAAACGAGCGTGAACATTTTATTTTTCCCATAAAATTGTAGAGGTGTCATGGGTACATTGAGATGGATAGGGAGGAAGGAGATTAATCATAGAGATGACAGAGGTCTCTTGATTTTGAAAACTTTTTTTTTTGGCTTCTTATGTTGAAACTCAGGCTTCGTTCGGCAAAGCTCCTTCAAAAGTTGTTTGGCGGAACAGGCCTCATCGTCTTCGTTTTAAAATGATCAAAATTCAAGGTTCTTGTGATACAATAAGTGGAGACATTACGAAAACACTTTGTCGCCAGACATAAAGTTTTCATGCGGTAGCGTTCAATCCAACCGAATAGTTCTCCAGATTCTACGAGGCCTTAGAGTGTTGATTGAAGATATTAAAGTGCTTCGTAACAATTTTCTTACATCAATTTTTTCTTTCACTGCAAAACTGTTAGTAATATCATTATTAGTAATGTTTTGGATTTGTTAGAGGTAAAGGAGAGAACTTCCAAATTGAAATTATCAATAAAGAATGGCTTAATATTTTTCTGAATATTTGTTTTATTTGACATTGTAAATTTAGGGAGATAATGCATCCATATGATCATGCTCGGTCTATGGTCTTTTTCAAAATTAAAAATTTACTAATTCTCCATATGAAATTCAATGTACATTTGATGTTTTGTCTTCTTTATTTGTGCCTTACTTTTAATTAATAAAATATGAAAAAAACTAAAATCTGATTATGCTAAATACCCAATGATATAATATATGCATTCATCTCATCCTTTTAGAGGTATAAGTGAGTCAAGGTAGTTTAAGCTGAGCTCAATAAATGACTCATGAGCTAACGAGCCAAATTTGTGCCAGCTTTGGCTCAACTTACTAGCTTATGAGCAGGCTATTTAAAAAAAAAATCTTAATATAAAACAATTTAAAATGAATAAAAATTTAAGATTTTAAGTAAAAAAATATTAAAATTAATTAAAAATTATATTATATTATTTTACGTCAAATAATTTCTTATTTTCTCTCTTCTAATTATTCATTCCTGTTGCCATTTTACTACAGAAGTTATTCGAATCATAATTTTTTTTTCACTGTTTAATAATAAATAAGTAATCTTGTGAAAATTAAGACTCGAGCACAAACTCAAATAATCAATCAAACTCAATTGTTCATTATGAATTGTTTGAGAAGGTTTAGCAAAATTCTCAAGGATGTAAGCCTAATGGAGAAGTAAAATTGTAATCATTTTAATTTTTATGATTATCTTAATAGCATTTAAAAATGCAATTTTTCTAAAAAAATTCATTTTAGCAAATCATTACAATATAATAAAAAAATAAATCTCTATCAATGACAATCAATTATATTTGGAAATGTTACTTAGTGCCAACAAAAATTAATAATAAGACATCAAGGAATGATAGCTACAAATTATTGATGTTGAGCCTGCAGCTTGGCAGAAGGATAATAATTTTATTATGATTTTGATATGATGCATACAAGTTTTTAATAAAGTAGCACATTTTATTATCATTAATCAAAATTTTTATGATAGGAATTGGCCAAAAAAGAGAGAAGAATGCTTGTTGTAAATAATACAAGTTCTTCTCATGTGTTACCAAAAAGATTGTTGTAAATATTTTTATTTTAATTATTCTACCTATTTGGTTGCACACATGTTCCAATTAAAAATTAATCGAGGATTTAAGCATGATATTTCTTCATCTAATAAAATATTTTTTAAATATAAAATAAACTTTTATTAAGGGCCCGATTGGGGCAACTTATTTGGTGCGGTGGCGTTTTGAAAACACGACAGGTCTGTTTGGGTGAACTGTGTTTTGACAGCCTATGCGTTTTCAAAACACTGAAAACAGTGTTTTCACACCGCACCTATCTAGGTGCGGTGGCAGCTTTCTGGTTGCGGTCTGACTTTTCTAAAAAAATAAAAATTTGCAATAGCGACTGCACCTAACTTATCAGGAGATTTTTCAATAAGCTGCAGCTGACCCAAATAGACCATAAAACTTCAAAGTTAAGACAACAGAACAAATATTATTGATGTCTGCAGATCATTTAGTGTTCAAAACTACCTGCTAGCATTATAAAATAAGGCAATTGCCGAATGACCAGCGAACATGAAGCTATTTGAAATCAAAACACAAATGTGTAAATACCTTAAAATGTTGAAGTCTACAAACCGTAAAGGACTAAAGAATTGAAAATTTTGATATAAATTAATCCCTATCTTGTAAAATAAGAAATAAGAAATTAACAAAAACATTGAGAATTATATAACATTGAGAATTAACAAGAGAATTACAATTATTTTCATTGTGACTAAATTTGATTATTATTATTACACTCAATATTTTTCCATGACAATTAGCAAGAACCATTGACATTATTTTTGGTTCCTTGCAATAACTTTATGGGGATCTGATCACTCAACTTTCGAGTCGAGTCCAACATAATCATTAGGTCCATAAGGCACGAACAATTCAGACAAAAACCATTTTTTTCTCTTTGGATTACAACCCATATCCTTACAAAGTTGATCATTATACCATATATGTATGGTTCCTATACTTGATCTTCTATAATGCTCGTGACTATATTCCTTCATGTATTTATCCCATTTTTTCACGTCTTCCTCCATTAATTTTATGCTCGGGAGACGAAATCCACCGTCAAGAAAAGATGCTAGCCACATCGCTCTAATCTCGGATGTATATAAGTTTGATAAGCTCTCTGAGTATCCGATTACGGCCATTTGCGGAATTCTTGGGTGTATACATTCTCTATCATATATAAATGTGTTAATAAAGTTAAACAATTATAAGTTGAGCATCATAAATTTGAGCTCGATAAACCTTTTCATTATTAACCTTTTCAAAACAACCAAAGCATCATTTGGTGGCGTCCGACTCACAAATGCTTGATAAGGTTACATGAAATATATGTGCACATGCGTGTGTGTGTGTGTGTGTGTGCTACTATGTGTGGGTGTGTGTGTGTGTGTGTGTGTGTGTGTGTGTGTGTGTGTGTGTGTGTGTGTGTGCGCGCGCGCGCGCGTGCGACTACGTGTGAGTGTCTGTGCATTCACGTGCGACTATGGGTGTGCGCGTGCGTTTGTGCATGTGTTTTTTATATTCATACAATTTTATAAGCATCTATGTGGATGACAACATATAGATTCATGATTTATTTATGATTTTTAAATTTATTGCATAATCATGAATGGTTCATATTTGACTTAATAATTTAACAAATCAAATCTAAATAGACTTGTCTGCTTAACGAGTCGTCCCAAACAACCTCTATGGACCGTGCCAGCTAAAACTCAAGTGTTTATATCCATACAAGTCATACATTTCAAAATTTTACTATGGGTGCACTTATTATAATAATATGAACTTTTAGTCATTCGAAACATACCTATAAAGTGGAACAGTATTTTCCGAGGAGCCAATCACAATCTCTTGAAGCGAGGGAGAGTGGAAAATATTTTGAAGCTTTTGATCACCCTTGAAGCCCGTAGCAAAGATAACTAAATCAGCCTTTATAGGTGTAGATTCACCTTCCAATATTACACCATCTTGACAAAACTCAAAGCTTTTTGTATGTTTTAGAATAATGCTATCATTTTTCACCCTCTCATAAAAATTTTCCGGCAATGTACTAAATAATGTGGTGCTCATTGCTTCAAAGAAGCTATGGTCTGGAACCATTCCATACTTCTCTATGGGAGTGGTTTTTTTGATGTAGCTCTCAACAAACTTAGATATAACCCATCGCTATATTGAAGCAAAAAATAATAATAATAATGTGATATCTAAATAAAAAAAAGAATTTTGAAGATAAGAATTGTGTGTATTTACTAAAGGAGAAAGCATAGTTGCCAAAATGCTTAGTATGATTCCTTCTCCGGGCTTGTGAAAGAGTAGTTCCGCGAAGCGAGTGAAATAAATGTAACTGAAAGGGACACCCCAAGCTGAGAAATCTAGTACGTTCCATCGTTTTGTTCGAAAAATCATTGTACAAGGAAGCTCCGCACCTACAAGTGCAAATTTAAGAAAAACAAGAATAAAGAATATATGGAATTATTATGTGTGAACTAAGTAGCTTGATGAATGTGTGGAGCATCATAGTACATGGTTGCATATTAGGGGTATTAATCGGGTTCACGTGTTGAGTTCAGCTCAAACCTGAAATTGACCCGAACACAACCTAAACTTAAAATGGGTTTGAAAATCTAACCCGAATCAAACACTCCTTCAACCTGGCTGACCATCGGCCCACACAACTCATTTAATATAAATATAATAGCTATTTGTCAATTTCAAATCAAGCTCTGGTCAAATTTTAGTTAATTTTGGGTTGAATGATCAAATTAAAGTCAGTTTCGGGCTTAGTGATCAATCTAAATCCAAACCAAAAAACTAATCATTTTATAATTTTTTTTTTAGAAAAACCTAGCATGAAAATTAATTAGCTCAACCAGAGCCTGAATTTTTTTTAATCGGGTTTGAGTCACAATGACAAATAGAATCAATTTGTGACACCCCTATTGCTCATTCCATTTTATATGAGCACAAAGTTATATAGCACCATCATGTGCCAATTACATACAACATTTAATTTGAATAAATAGTGAGTATAAATAGTAAATGGCAACCCCATCACATTTTCTAACAAATTTAATGATGATAACAACAACAATCATACCATTAATGTTAGCGCATTCTGCAGCGACATCAAGAGCAGATTTGAGGAAACCAACTATAACGATACGTTTTCCATTAACAAACTTGGCAGCAGCAGTGCTTCCCATGTTGGCTAAGTCCATGGAGTGGATCACCTTGCCATTGAAGACCTCAGGGCCTTTATTCTTAGGGAAGTTAGGGATATTTGGGAGGCCACTAAACCTTCCTAAGCAGAGGACAACAAAGTCCATGACATGCTCCTATGAAAGGCAAAACTAATGTTAGTTTGTAAATTTAATAAATTATAAATTTTTCTTTTATTTTTTAGAAGCAAATATTTAGGAAAAAATTAAAGAGAGCTTAAATTTAAGCCTGAATACTCATTATGATAAGAAAATTTTGAGTTGAATTAATATTAAAATTCAAAGCTCTATTTCAAGATAAATAAAAAAAATAATATATAAGAAGTTAATTTAAAATTTGTTTTAAATCTTTTTAAATAACATAAATCTAAAATTAAATTTTAGTCCCAAAAAAAATTAAATTTTAATTTTTTTTTATAGATAATAACAACACTTTTCATCAACATGCCACCATCCATTTACAAAAAAAAAAAAAAAAAAAAAAAAAAAAAGGGAATTTTCAATGTCCAAAAAATGTCAAAAGCTTTATTTCAATTGTCCTTTTTGATTAGGATGGAAAATAAATTATTATTTTTTATATATTATAATCAATTTAAAATAGATTAAAAATTATAAAAATCATTATAGTCATAAAAGTATCATCTTAAATCTAACAATAAATAACCAAATATTGGTCAAAATTTAACAAGGTCTAAAATGATTTACATATTTTAACCCAAGATAATTTAATAAATCCTGATTTACATTAAAATATTTCTTAAGATATCTAATTAAATCTTTTTAATTATTTATTATTTTTTTCTAATATAACATAATAATATTTAATATTAATTATCTCCAAACATATTCAAAATTTTATGAAATTTATCATTGGCATTTATATAAATACCAATCAATTCCTATAAATCTAGATGTACACTTTACATCCTTATATTTTTGACTTCCATATATTTTGAATCACATCAAATATATAATTATTTTATTTTTTAAAAAAGAATAAATACATTACTTCATGCATAAAAAACTACCTAAATTTAAAAAATTAAAATTAAATATTAGATGTATAAATGCATAAAAATTATTTACAAAATTCATACCTATTTAAATCTTTCCAGAATTCATTACTTATATATACTTTTTATCAAAAGAAAAAAAATTATACCCTAAAAATTCTTAATTTGATGAATTTAAAAATAACTTATAAATTTCAATTTTTTTAAGGAAAAACATATTTTTAACATAATTAATAATAACAAGTTAATCTTAAAAAATTTATCCTTTTGCAAAATCTCATTTTTAAGTTAAAATTACCACAACAACCCCATCTTCCTTCTCCACCGTCACCTTCCAAGCTCCACATCCAGCTTCGGCGAAAGCGCCACCGGTTCCTCCCCACAAATCCCAGACCGCCATCTGCTCCCGATTCGATCCAACATAGTCCAAACCCACAACCTTCTCCCCTAACCGCACGTGCCTCATAAGATCAAACCGACGAGCATAAGCTTCCAAATACTCCATCACCTGCTCGTGGTTCGGCGCTCCGGCGACGGATTCCGGCCACGGGAAGTCGGTGAACCGGTAACTCTGGGTCGAGGTCTGCAGCCGGGTCGAACCGAGCGTGCTGGCCCATACACCGCCGATGGACCGGCCGGTCTCGTAGACCACTGGCCGGAAGCCTTTATGGAGTAAGTACTTGCAGGTCACCAGACCGCTGATTCCCGCACCCACAACGCACACCCGCTTTGTCTCCATTAGTTGGTTAGTAGGTTTGTAGAACATAGGAGTGCCATTTTGTAGGGAAGTTCAATGTGTTGATTTTTCTCTTTAATTAAAATAATCATTTTTTATTTGAGATATTTTTTTAACAAATAATTATAAGATTAAGTCAAGAGCTGCACAATTTATAATCTTCTTTTATTTGGCCATATGGCACCAAGAAAAAATAAATGTCAACTAGTTATGGCTATTAGAACTCATTGCGTTTGAAGGGGGGAGATGATGGATCCGTTTATCGTGTTGTGATATATATGAAATTTAAAACGATCGACGACGAAGTGAAAATAATAGAACGAGAAAAATCACACCACAAAAGAACACAGATTTACGTGGTTCGGCAAATTGCCTACATCCACAGAGTTGCAGAGGATTTTACTAATTGAGCAATTTACACCAGTTGATCGTCTCAAATTACAAAGGTGAACTCTTCATTTCACTTCTTCACTCTTCTTTATTTACACCGAGATACACCGAAGAAGAGGAAGAAATACATACAAGTTAAAATTTGTTTCTCTTCTTGCGCAAGCCACAAAGAAGAAATCAAGAACACCTTCTTCTTCCTTCCAAGCATGCAAAATCAACTAAGAAAGAGTACCTTGCGAAAACACCATTTTTTTGCCTTTTGCTTCTCGTAAGCCTCAACAAGAATCCAAGCAATCCAAGCAGAATGTCTCCTTTCCTGCTTCGGAGAAATGAAGGAGGCGAGAGTTTTTTTTTTAACTGTCTTTACTCCTAACATATTTCCCACTTGGAGACCGGTACACAGACTACAACGTTTCTTTCTCAAATTGATGTCCTCCACTAGCGGCGTAACCATTTTCTTCAAACAAGTTATCCTCCACCTCTGCAACTCAAGACTCCTGTCTTCAAGCTAGAAGATCAACTGAAGCTGCGCACAACTTCAGTTTCTCCAGAGTAATACCCTTTGTCGACATATCAATAAGCTTTTGGCTTCCACAAATTTTCTCAAATAACAACTGTCCATCATTCAACAATGACCGAATGAAGTGATACCTGATCTGAATATGCTTAGTCCTGGACTGAAATGTTGGATTCCTGACAAGGAATATTGTGCTTTTGTGCTTTGACTATCGCTGTAGAGAATTCCCTTCTGATTCTTCTTGCCTAATTCTTCCGAGAAGCCTTATATCCATATCAACTCCTTTGCAGCCTCTGACACTGTTATGTACTCAGCTTCTGTAGTAGACAATGAAACTGTCTTCTGCAGATTAGAGCCCCATGCACTGCAGTACCACCAAAAGTATAAATATAGCATGTAGTACTTCTTCTTGTATCAATGTATCCAGCTAGATCAACATCAACATAGCCTCGTACCTCTGAACTCTTTTCCGAGAAACACAAACAAGTTTCTGTAGAGCCTCTTAGGTACCTTAAAATCCACTTCACTGCTTCTCAATGTTCCTTTACTAGATTACTCATGTATCTGTTAACAACTTCCACTGCATGAGCAATATCTGATCTGGTACAAATTATAACGTACATAAGTGAACCAATAACTGAAGCATAAGAACCTTACTCATGTGATCTCGTTCCTCCTCTGACTTGGGTGACTGATTCTTATTAAGTCTGAAGTGACTTTCCAAAGGTGTGCCAACTGGTTTGGCCTTATCCATGTTGAATATGCTAAGTACCTTTTTCACATACTCAGCCTGAGAGAGTCTCAACATGCCTCTGACTCTATCTCTGACAATTCTCATACCAAGGATTTGTTTTGCAGCTCCCAAATCCTTCATTGCAAAGTGCTCTGACAGTGTTTTGACATCTGCTTCTTCAGATTATTGAAAGATTATTGATATCCCCAATACTAGCACCTGCAATAAGCATATCATCCAAATACAGCAGTATGATGATATAAGAATTGTCAAAATACCTGACGTAGCAACAATGATATGTCTGACATCTGTTGTACCCTGCACTGTGCATGAAATTATCAAATTTTTTGTATCACTGCTAAGAGCTTGCTTCAGGCCATACAAGCTCTTATTCAAGTTGCAAACTGACTCTTACTTTCCCTGTACCATGAACCCTTCAGGTTGGTGCGTGTAGATCTCTTCTTCAAGATCCCCATGATGAAAGACTGTCTTCACATCTAACTGCTCAAGGAAGAGATCTTCAGTAGCCACCATAGACAGTATCATTCTGATGGTTGTAAGCTTCACCACAGGAGAGAAAATATCAGAATAATCAATACCATGCTTCTGATGAAAACCCTTTACTACAAGTCTAGTCTTGTACCTCTTACTGCCATCGTGCTCAGTCTTCACCTGGTACACCCACTTGTTGTGTAATGCCTTCTTCCCAGATGGAAGTTCTGCCAACTCCCAAGGCTGATTTTCAAGTAGAGAATCCATCTCCTCCTTCATGACAAGCTCTCACTTGCTCGAATTTTCATATTGCAAGGTTTCTTCATAACTTTGAGGTTCTCCACCATCTGTCAACATAATGTAATTCACAGTTGGAGAATAGCATTGTGGAGAACGTTTAGCCCTTTCTGACCTACAAACTACAACTGTAGGGGTATGTAGGCACTATTTTGGTTGGAGGAGTTCAGGAGCAAAAAAGCCAAGTTGATTATTTTTGGTAGAATTGGGGTACCAACCACCATAAATGAGTTATGGACCAATAGAAACCCCATTTGGGTCCTCTATGTACTGGTCTTAGCTAAACCCTAGCCTAGGGCCAGAGGGTTTAGGGGACCGGAGAGGGTTTAGGGGACCATCTACATGAGTCTCCCAAAAGATTAAGGGATCAGAGTTAAGAAATTTTGAGTTTAGGGTATTGAGTGATTGTGAGTGGGGTGATTGTAGTGAGTGCTAGACCAACACCAAGGGTCAACCTTAAGGTCCAGCAGTCCTAAGGGTGGGAACTCTCCTTGAGCTCCCCCATATCGACCCCACCTACTAAGTGCTAGAGGTTATGACCAATATGTGGAACTTCAAGTTAAGCAAGGAAGAGGGTAGAATTTATATTAATGAGAGTTCCATTTCTAGTTTTCTAGGAATAGCCAATAAGAAAGTCATATGGCTAGACCTTAGGCTACTAAAGAGGAAAAACTAAACCACAACCAAAAGTGAGGTCAACAGGGTAGACTGCTCTGAAACAGGCTGTGGAACAATAGGAGTGGATGCCCTGGATCCACTCTCCTCATCACCAGCATCTCTGTACTGCACTGCGACCTCTGGTAAATCATCAAACTTTACCAACTCAGATTTCTGCAATGTTGTTTCAGAACTATACTGGACTTTTCCTTGTACATAATCTTCTCATTGAAAATTACATTCATGCTCCTTATGATCTTCCGACCCTGATCATCCCAGAAACGATATCCAAATGCCTCATCTCCATAGCCAAGAAAATAACACCTCTTTGACTTAGCCTCAAGCTTATTCCAAGCATCAGGATTAATGAGAATATAAGCAAGACAACCAAAAGTCTTAAGGTGAGAAAATTTGACTTCTTTCCCACTCCAGACCTCCTCAGGTAATTCACAGCTTAATGGAATAGATGGCTCCCTATTGATCAAACTGCAGTACTGATCGCTTTTGCCCAGAAAGTAGGTGGTAGTCCGGCGCGTAATCTAATGCTTCTAGCCCGCTCATTAATGATCATGTTCATGCGCTCTGCAACACCATTTTGTTGTGGTGTCCCTGGAATGGTCTTCTCCATTTTGTCTCCCTGGAATGGTCTTCTCCATTTTGATTCCTTGAGCTGCACAGTACTCCTTGAACCCACTATCAATGTACTCACCACAATTATCAGACCTCAGACATTTCAGCTTTAAATCTGTATTTGTCTCAACCACGATCTTCTAAGTCTTGAACGCACTAAATACATCAAATTTATGCATATATTTCAAGAAATAAACATATACCTTTCTGCTAAATGTGACGTAGTAATGAGAGCCTCCAAGAGATGCCACTGGAGAAGGTCCCCACACATCTGTGTGTACAAGATACAGCTTTCCTGCCTTTGGTATCCTACCACTTTTTAAGAAACTGACATTTCTCTGCTTCCCCATAATGCAACTCTGGCACATGCTGAAATCAACTGACTTCAGTTCAGGTAACTTGTCTATGGACTGAAATTCCTTCATACCTCCTTGACTCATGTGGCCAAGTCTGCAATGCCACGATTTTGTCGTGCTCTCTGCAACAGTAGTATCAACATTGTTAATTAAATCAGTAGTCATATACAGCGTACTTGTTTTCTTACCCTAAGCCAGTATCAATGCTCCTTTTATAACCTTCCAGGTGTTATTTGAGAAAACTACTGAATGTCCACATTCATCAAGCTGCCCAACAACAATGAGGTTCTTCTTCATTTCAGGAATGTGTTTGACCTTTTACAGAGTCCACTTATTCTTATTTGGAAGTGCAATGTTAATATCTTTAATTCCTACCACGTTTAGAGCTTCTCCATCTGCTAAATATATTTTCCCAAAGTCACCTGCAACATAATTCCATATCAATTCCCGATGGAAAGTTATATGGAAAGAAGCTTCTGAATCCAATATCCAGTCATCAACAGAACTATGAACTGTCAGCAGTAGTGCATCATGAGATTCTTCAGTTACCACATTTGCACTGTCATTCTTCGTCTTCTTAGGATTCCTGCAGTTCCTCTTTATGTGGTCAGTTTTGCCACAATTTCAGTAAATTACTTGTTTACCAGACCTTGACTTGCTCATGCTTCTATTCTTTGATTTTGATCTTCCCCTGTTTGAGTTCATGTTTTGTGATTTTGTGATCTCCCTCTGGAATCTCTGGAATCAACAATCAGTGCCGAACTCGAACCCGATGTCTCACCAGAATCTTTCCTGCGCACCTTCTCAGCCAAAATCAAATCACGAATATCTTCAAATTTCAATTTAGATTTACCTGCAAAATTACTGACAACCATCCTTATAGCTTCCCAGCTATTTGACAATGAACTTCTCCTCAACTAGACAGTCTTCA